ACATGTTGTTGTAGCCTTGACTAATTCACGTATTGCTCATGGGAGGCTGAAAATTTGTACTGACAATGTAAGGGGAGCAGTAAGGAACCTGCAGAAGAGAATGCGTACTAACGAACTTGGGTGACTTTCAGATTGGGAAAGGGCAGAAATGGTAGTTCGCTGCTATATTATTGTCAGTCTTTCCAAATACTTGCAGAAGAAGTGTACATGATTAAGAGTGGAGTAAAAATGCTTCAGACTCTTAATGACATGTTTCCGCTGCGTCTAGCAGCTCTGCTAGACAGAATGCAGTCGGTGCAGGTTTTGCTTAGAGTCTTGTTAAATCCAAAGGGAAACCCAATGGTGGTAACAAGAACAAAATGACTTGGTTATCAGTTGTCAAACTAGTTGCTATGAAGAAGCTGCAAGGTAAGTTCTTCAAGTGCAGACTGAAGGGATACTGAAAGAAAAATTGCCCAGAGGTGATGAAAAGAACCTGACATGGGCATATCAAGGCCTGATCAGTGAATGAATTATTGATTCAGGAATCACTGATTATGTTTGTTACTCTTTGTAGTAGTTCAAACATGGCATACCTGTCAGCAATGGACATAGATATTTTAAGCTTGAAAATGGGAACTTTTGTCTGCATTTGCAGTAGTACAAGTTATTTATAAGACTATGGTTTTGGGTGACTGTTTATTTGTTCCAGATTTCAAGAGAAATTCAATTTTTGTTAGTTGTTTTGGTTAAAACATGGGTTGACAATGCAATTGATTCCTCAGTTACATTTCGAAGTTCATCTTCGTCTTGTTTGTTCTGGTACATTGTTTAAATAGTCTTTATTACCTATGTCCTATAACCTTTTTAAATTTGTTATGTTGAATGGAAATGATGATAAACAAGGATTTTCACCAAAGAAATAAAAGTTTCAAATGAAACATAACTTTGGCCTTTGTGATTGAGTCACATTATCTCAAGTAGAAAATATGTTTTAGTTAAAAGAGGGACTGGAAGTTCAATAATCTTTTAACTAACAGCTACATGTTAGTACTATTTGGAAGGTAAAGTGGCCTAGCAATCCTACAAGGGCCAATAAGGTTTGCGCAACTATTCAACTGGAACTGGTATATACTAAAGTATGTGGACCACTTAGTGTTCAGACCAGAAGAGGTGATGAGTACTTCATTATATGAATGTTTACTCTGGATTTGGACAGATGAACCAAGTGCGCTATAAGTCTAAAGCTTTTGGAAATTTCCAAGAGGTTTAGTCTGAGGCAGAAAAGCATGTAGGTGTTCAAATCAAAAACACTTTGGTCTGACTAAAGTGTTGGCTACCTGTCTGGTAAGTTCAGGTGTTACCTGATTTAAGAGGGGATAGTTTTTGTAACTGTCAACTCTAAGAACGCATTAGTTGAATAAAGTTGCAGTATGCAAAAATCAAACATTTTTAGACTTGGTGAAGATCATGTTCAGTTATTCATCTTTGCTAATGTTGTTCAAGGGAGATGCCTAAGAGAAGGAAATCTATCTTCTTAACTTGGTTCCGTCAAAGTTTGTTGTAAAGACACCTAAAGAATTATGGAAGGGGTGCAAGCCCAGATCAAACCCTATTCGGATTTAGGGTGCTACGGCACACGTCCTACAACAACAGTCAAATAAGATGGAATCTTGTATGGAAGAGTGCATATCTTTTGGCTACCCTAAGAGAACTAGGGATGATTTCTTCTTTAGTCTTAAGGACAAGATAATCTAAGTGAGCACTCACATGATTTTCTTAAAGGAAGACTAGATAAGAAATTATAAGCTCTTAAGTTAGGTTATTCTTGATGAGATTTATCTCAGATCAAGAATTTCCAGAATCTCTAGAAGCTTCATCCACTGTTCCCTTGATTATTCAAGAGGGGATAGATATATCTCTAAGTGAACAAAATGAGAACCATGATTGGAAATTCAACATGATAATATATAAGTGAAACTAGTAGAAATATTAGTATCACATGTAAATGAACAATATTCAAGAAACTGAAGATCCATCATTTGACCCACTCTTTGTTTTACCTATAAATACACAAGGTCTAGTGCAGTACATTCGTAGTGGGAGAGAACCTTGTTAACTCTCAAGTTGTCTCTTGTTGAGTGATATTGATCCTACTAGTTACGATAATGCACTAGAAGATGTTGTTGATCAAGTGTTGCTCAAGCTATGAACAATGAGATGAAATACTTGTATTTCAACTCCGTTCGGTCCTAGTAAAGACACCAAGAGGGGTAAAACCCACAAGGTGCATGTGGACATAAAAGGCAAAGAGAGGATGGACAGGAAGGTGAAAACCTTCAAAGCTAGCTTGGAGGCAATTTTTGCCAGACGCCATGCTTGAGTCTATCCAGATTCTCTTAGTTGCTATAAGTCTCAATTATGAGATTTCATTTTGGGAGTTGGATGTCAGGATATCTACATACAACAACCAAAAGGGTTTATAGCAAATGAGTAGGAACACACGGTATGCAAGTTGTGAAAGTCAATTTCATAGACTTAAGCAAGCATCCAGGTCTTGAAACATCAGTTTTGATCAGGTTATCAAAATTTTGATTTTGAGAGAACCTTGATGAATGATGTGTATTTGTATGTAAAGGATACAATGGAAGACAGTAGCTTTTCTGGTACTTTATGTAGATGATATGCTCCTTATTAGAAACAATGTGGAGGTAATATCAAGCAAAAAGAGTTGGCTAAGTTAGTGTTTTGGTATGGAAGTACTGGGGAAGCCAATTATATTCTTGGTATAAAACTCTTATGAGGCCGGAAGAATAAGTTGTTGGCATCACCTCAGGCTACTTACATTGACAAAACCCAAAATTCAACATGAGAATTCTACGAGAAGAATTATAATTCTCAGATGTGGAATTCATCTTCCTAAGGAGTGACCAAAGACTTCTAAGAAGGAAGAATGCATGAGCAAGATATCTTATGCTTTGGCAAAGGTAGACTCATGCATATCATGTTGGGCGTTAAACCAGACATTTGTCACGCAGTGGGAGTAGTGAGATAGTACCATTTTGAACCTAGATGAATACTAGATTATTGTTAAGCATGTACTCAAGTATCTTTGGAGAACGAGAGATTATATGCTGGTATATTCTAGTGGGAGTCTTGAAAAGCTGAGTTTTCAAAAAAATCAGTTATTTCAAGTGGATATTGACTCAAGAAAATCAACCTCGAGCTATGAGTTTTTCACTAAACTCAGATAGCATTAGAGGTGGATCTTGCAGACCCACTTACTAAGAGTTTGCCTGAATTTGTGTTCGAGAGGCATATTACTTCTTTGGGTCTTAGGAGGATCCCAGACTTGCATTAAGCAAGTGGAAGTTATTGGTTTCATTGCACTCTTGGAATAAGACGATGAAACAATAAAATCATTTTCTGAATTTCATAAATAAGGTTTTATTTATTTATTTTGCGCACTATTTACAAACATAAAGGTCCGGATCAAATTGTGGAGTATATGATCATATGGATACGTTCATGGAGGACATGATCATAGGATCTCACAATTGATGAATGGAGTCACAACCGTTAAATAAAGTTGGGCACTTTATTCAGGCTGCAATATTTTATGAAATGATTTTGTCCGAATCATTGTAAAATATTGGTGTGAATTAACATTCACATTGAAAGGATCAAGGAGAGATTTGATTAAGGTTGTTTTTCTGTCATAAGGTATCAAATCTCCAGTTAACTATAGTTATGTGATTGCTCTTAATCCTGAGTTTATTATAAATAGGTAATCAAATAGTTTTCATTCTTTGATTTACCAACGGGTGAGGTTCGATCTATTGACGGCCAATAACTCGGTATTTTGGGAGTGAGATTATTTGATTATCGGTATTTATGAGATAAACAACATGGAATTTGTAGGATATGTCCCCTTGATATGTTTTGGTACTTGGATATTAAAGACACTGGCCAGTGCATGTAATCCATTAGAGAAACTATCATAGTCAAGGGAATAAATAATTGATTGAGTTACAGAAAACTTGTCAATCAATTATAGACATTCTACAAAGGGGCGATGCATATTCATGTTATAAGTGTTGTTAATCTTGGAGTTCAAGTTCGGGCTTTTAGTGGAGTAGCACCGAATTAGATAATCATTCGTTGATTATCAGGAGCCTTGATTAATAACAGATGGTAGATCCCCAAGCTAGCTTGAGACAAGGGATGGGGTATTTTTCGGATAGATGATGACTTATAGGTTACATGATCTTGGGTTTTACGACTCAAGTTTGTATCCAAAAGAGCAAGTGGGAGATTGTTGGGTTTGCTCTTTTACTAAAGCCCAAATGGGTTATTAGTATGAGAAGAGCCCAAGGAACCTAGAGCCCAATGAGCTAGGGTTTCTTGGAACCCATATAAATAGTACCTCTTAAGTCATCAGCCTCCTAGGTCTTTTTTGTGAGAAAGAGGCAAGATCAGAATCTAATCAGTGCCCACACACTTCCCCTTCCTCCTCGAGAGATAGTTTGGAAGATCTGCCACAGTCCAGCTTCAAGGAGGTTGTTCGTGCTGCGGCGCTGAGGTGAGCTGTTCGTGAAGAGAAATCCTACAAGGGTAGATTCTACACGAGACCTGCGCACCGAGAGGTAATTGTGAAACAAGGATGATTCAGTAAGCATACCAATGTACTAGGTCCTAAACTGTTTCCGCATAAATCTAAGATATCCTTCAGTTGAAACGTGAGGAACCCTTTGTGCTCAAAACAGCAATGACACAAACAATGGAGAGAACAACAACAGCAATGGGGTCAAGCATGTTGTAGCTATCTGCGAGGCCATTGGCTAAGATGAGAAACTTATCAGAGTCTTTGTTGCAGAGAGTTGCAAAGTAGGATGTCCACGAGCGTGCCACTGCAGCATTACTAATCACATACTCAAGAATAATGTTCCCTGCAGCAATGAAGGCTACAAAATCACCAAGCTCCACTCTGAGGTAAGCAAATGAACCACCTATACATAAAGGGCATGAAATCACCATTCAATTAGCCTAAGGTTTGTAATCTCATTTTGCAAACCAGCAGCGGCGGAGGGAGGGGGTGCTAGGGTGGGCGGCCGCCCCCTCAAAATTTGAAGAAATTTTTTAACATAAGTATAATACAAGAAGGGATACGATCCTTTGACACCGGTGTCAAATTTTAAAATTTGACACCAAATCCCGACCGTTGATTTCTGTCAATCAACGGTTATCAAACTACATTTATTAATTAATTATTAATTCCAATAAATGATAACCGTTGATTGACAGAAATTAACGGTTGGGATTTGGTGTCAAATTTCAAAATTTGACACCGGTGTCAAAGGATCCTACCCCATACAAGAAACTTTTATTTTTTCTCTCAATTAATGTGAAGTAGTTTTCTCTCACCAAGAGAGTCTATAGAACTTCTTTATATTCTCAGGTCCTATATTTATTGAAACCCCTCTAATTCTGATTGTATTACTTCTTTATATTATAGTAATTTGTACATATTTTTTGTGAAATCTAAACTTTTACTCTCTTCTCTTTTTCTTTATTTTCTTTGCATAAAAAATGTTTATTTTAGAGTTTGAAAAGATGTAGTTTTTTCAAATTGATAGTAGATTTTACTGTGACATCTTTCATCTCTTTCTGTCTCCTTCTTTCTCTTTATAACAAGTTAAAAGAGGTATTTATGAGTTATGTTCTCTGGATTGGTGTTTCGGCCTTCCACATATTGTGATTGAAGAGAGGAACAAATATTTAATTTTTCGTATTTTGGTCTCTCATATATTATGTTAAAAAAGAGAAACAAATATTTAATTTTTAGCCCCCACAAGAAAAATTCCTGGGTCCGACACTGCAAATGAGCTATCAAATTACTCAAAGCCAAAGCCTTCCCTACTAGTCTTTTACCCGATATATTGTATATTCAATTAGCTCCTTGTTTAACGAGAAACATGATGTGCAAAATGGATAAAAGGGAACCATGGACGATTATATTTTCAGTACTATAGTAATAGGTATTTTTTTATCAATAATAAAAAGAAATGGGACTAATATAACATTTACAATAAATAGGTGGATATAATAAATATAGATAGGTGAATTTTTTTTTTTTTTTTTGTAATACAGATAGGTGAATCTTTAGTGCTACGGAATATTGAAAATATTCTCTTGAAAAAAAGTTACTACTCCAATAAAACTATTTACGAAGATATAGTAATTAACTAATACATATTAAAATATGGGTAAAGTAACTCTCCTCTTGGAGAAGAGTCACTATTTCCAACCGTAGAGATAACAAATCATATTGGTCCCATATCTTAAAAAAAGTTGATGGATCAGTGGAAGATAATTTTTTTTGTCCTGCAGTATAAGATTTAGGGCTCGTTTGGATGAGCTTTTCTTTTTCAAAAGCTGTTTTTTTTCAAGAAAAAAAGCATTTCTCGTTTTTAGTTCGTTTGGATGTCTATTTTTAAAAAAAGGAGAAGTCACAAAAAAAAGTTAAAAATCTACTTTTTTTAGAAGCTAAAAATTTTAATTTCTAAAAAAAGTAGAAGTCAAAAGTTAAATATTTTTTTTCAAAAACTAAATATTTTTATAAAAATATAAATAGTTTTAACTTTTGTAAAAAGTACTTTTAATATAAGGAAGTGATAAAAGTTACTTTTTTTTAAAAGATGAAACAAACCACCTCTTACTTTACCCTTAAAATATTGTTATATAAACCTTGTAAAGCCAAAGGACGTTTATTTTTTTTTATTAATTTTTACTAAACAAACCATTAAAACCAATGATGCATTAAAACTTTATTGACATAGTTTGAAACTAAATACATTATATTTATATAAGAATTTGTCCAACTTTTTTTTTTTTGGTAAAAAGAAATTCTCTCACTTTATTATAATAACAAACATTTTCTACATTCATTTAAAGTTTTAACTATTTTTAAAATAAGTTAATCTTCGATATTGCAAATGATAGTTAAGAGACAAGTTTACCACCACTTAAACAGTTTGGATATGATCTTATAAAAGAAATTAACGAGAAATGAAAAGTAAAACAATCAAATATACATATAAGAGACTAAAATGATATTTTATTCATAATTTTATAAACAATTAGTTGTTGTTAAGTGTTTTTCTAGTTTGATAAAACTTTTAAGAGACGAGAAACTAGCAGTAACCTAAAATTACCCATGTTTGCAGTAAACTTAAACAGAGAGCACCAAAAAAAATTGAAAAAAAATAAAATTACCTGCCACAGGAATTTCCACAGCAAATTCAGTGTAGCAAAAGACAGACAACATGGCTGAGATGCCGGAAATAACGTAGGACAACACAACAGCGGGCCCCACATCGTTCTTAACCTCAAGTCCTGTGAGAACAAAGATACCCGAACCAATGACACTACCCATACCGAACCATATCAAGTCCCACCATGAAAGCTTTTTCTTCATTTCATGCTGGCTTCGCTTCTTCACTTCCACCAACTCCATTTCATCCGTGGATCGGGTCATGACCCGATCCATTAGTCTTAACGGGGTGTTCAGTAGTGCCTTACCATAGTTTGACAAACTTTGAAATGACTTCGACTTTACTGGTTGTGGGACATCACCCTCCACTGTTAAGGTTGAATTGCCATTTCCCTCCATTCTAGGAACATTGTCCCAGATAATACATAAATTAGGGGAACACAGCATTAAAAATGAATTGATGTTTCAAAATAATTTAGCTAGATTCAAGTTGATTATTAGAAAATATAAGAGTATATATCAATGTTCACTTATCAACCCAAGTATCAATAAGCATGATAATTCCTTTAACCAAAATAATAAACAAGAATTCTAATCATTTAGCATTTTCTTAGGTGAAGTTAAAGTTTTGAAGAAAAATTATAATCATCAAATTAATTTTGAAAATATAATTTTGGTTTTATGCAATTCATAATTTTCTACTTATGCATTGTGCTGTGTAATACATTATTGTTGTTTTTATCAATTATTTTCAATTCTAATTTATGAATCACCTTTAATTAAAAAAAAATTTATTCAAGTCAAACAATTCCTATTTATCTTCTTAGATTTAAAGTGTGAAAATTCAAAAATTACATGCAACAATTTGTAATCTATTTAAATAACTTAAATAAGTTTCTTTGAATTTAAATAAAATTATGAACTTAATTTTGATGTACTACCAGTATATTATATTTTTACATTATCACTAATTTTTTGTTAATGCCTTGTTTAATCATTTTTTAATATTTAAATCATTTGAAATATCAAACTCATTAAATAATGTAGTAATACATTAGTACATCAAAATTAAATTAAAAAAAAACTATTGCCTTTTCCTCTAATAGAATCTTTCAAACATTTTTACTAAAGGAATATATTTCTAACTTTTAATTTCAATCAATATTAATCATAATCAAATAAGGGGCATAATTCGATCAGTGAAAACAAAAACGGGTAGTTACGCGGGATCGAATGGTTATAAAATGATTTTGGCTCCCCTGGCGATGTAATTAAAAAGACAAATTACACCATATATAAACCAAGATTATTATCTAATGATACTTATTACTTACAGTTTGTTAGAGAGAAAAAAATATTAAAAATACTTTAAGCTGTTATTTGAAGACCGACCCATTGTAAAGTAACCATTGGCCCTCAAGTTGTTATAAGAGGGCACCAATAATTTTATATTATATTTCTTTAACATAATTATATAATTGTATATGTAATCTATTTTCTTCACGTATTCTTGAAACCTACCATATCATGATTCTAAACACCTCCTGAATGCAATTCAAGTGAGTTCGCTCGGCAATCAGAATTGAGTCCTTCTAAGTTACCAACTGTTTTCAAGCAGAACAACCAAATATAAAACAGGAGGATATACAAACAATAAATGTTTTTACCTCTTCTTTTTGATACTTTTGGATCCAAAGATGAAAATCCTCAGAGGCTTCCAAGTCACGCTTATTCTTAATTTACAAACAAAGAATGGAAAAAACCAAATCAAAACCTTTCTTCTTTCAAATCTGATATAAATAGAATATATATAGGAAAAGCCTTTTTAATTAAAAAGAGAGAGAACCCTTTGTTCTCTCGACGGGGCCGGCAATGGATACCAACATAGAAAATAATGAAACTAGATACTTCCGGCAGAATTTTATTTTTTTGCATATTTATACGTATAAATTCATAAACGCCAAAATGAATGAATAAGAGAACAAAAGATGGAAATGCCAGCCACGCTTTTAAAGAAATAACCGAAGTTTGGGTGGGTACGGTTCGATTTTTTATGCCGAACTCATATAGTGATTTGATTCAAAAACTGAACAGTTAAATTTAGTGGTTCGGTTCAGCGAATCCAGCCAATTTTATTATTTTACGAATCAATTTTAATTTTGAATTGGTTTAAAATTCGTTTTAAGGAAGAAAAAAAGAGAGTATTTGACCGGAGTATACAAGGTGTTTGTGTGTGGTCCATAAGTGTATCATCAAGCCCAACATAGCACTGAAATAAATGGGTTTGGTATAATAGCCCTCACTAGTAGTTGTGAATTTAACGTTGAAGAATAATTAGAAGTAAAAGAAATAAAATCACATTTGGTGAAAAAAGAGTTAAAATGACAGTTAAGGGATAAAAATACAGGTAAACAGAGTTACCCAAAAAGTGAAAGTAAAATTAAAAATATGATTAGAAAAATATTCTAGTCCATTGGGTAAAGTTTAGTAATGACTGGAGGTGTGTAGTTAGATAAACATTTACACAGTTGAGTTTAACTTGACCTATATAAGTGAAATTTCTAAAAAAACTTACGATCTATTCTTATTTCTCCTCGCGGACGACAGTGGTGGAGAGAAGGAAAATAGAAGTTTGAAATCAAATCTTTCAAGGATCATAACTTGAGCTAGAGACCTACAAATCACTTTGTTCCAAAGCCAAACTTGTGATAAATTTCGAGAGAAATTCATTGGTACCAGTATTTCTGAGTGGGTTTCACTGTAGAGAGAGATCTTCCTCATCTAAAATTTTGGATTTCAGAGATAATGGGGATTTTGATGGAGCTTGAAGCCATGGGAGCTTGAAGTAAGCCTTCCCCTTCGTTCTAGGTAAGTTTATGTTGAGAAATCCTGGTTTTCTTTGAGTTTTGAGGAAGATCGAATTTAAGTTTTTATTTTGAAAGTTTGGTTTGATTGAGCATGTTAGAGCTTGATTGAGGCTTGACTCATGTTGAGAAAAGTGTTCAGATGAAGATTTTAACGGTGAAAATGTATTTGGAAAAATTGAGATACCGTATTTTTGAATAGTGACGTATATGAATAGTATCATATACGTGAATAGTGACGTATATATGAATAGTACCATAGAGATGAACAGTACCGTATGTGTAACATCCCGGGCGCTGACGAGGGCGAGGAGTGATCGCCGGTGCGAAAGGGCATGGACAAGGAGCGGCTCCTGGCAGGCTTCTAGGGACGGGGGTACATGAATGAATCGAATCCACACCCGAAAGAGAAGGATTCCAGAGACTGTGCTGGTATGGGACGGTATAGTTGGGAATGACTTATAAGAATTAATTGGTACTACCTATACTAACAAGATGCATCTACTTTTCGGTAGCCCAGAACGGAAGAACTCCATAGTTAAGCGTGCTTGACTTGGGGCAATTCTGGGATGGGTGACCTCCTGGGAAGTTTTCCCGGGAAGTGTGCGAGTGAGGACAAAGCACGCTGAAAAGTCTCGTGTTAGTGTGTAGGGACAGTCGTTAATCCTTGCAAGTTGCCGGGCGTTACAAGTGGTATCAGAGCAGGGCCTCTCATCTAGTACGGTGTGGTTCGAGGACGAACCAGGCGGAATCTGGTGGGCATGTAACATCCCGGGCGCTGACGAGGACGGGGAGTGATCGCCGGTGCGAAAGGGTATGGACAAGGAGCGGCTCCTGACAGGCTTCTAGGGACGGGGGTACATGAATGAATCGAATCCACACCCGAAAGAGAGAGATTCCAGAGACTGTGCTGGTATGGAACGGTATAGTTGGGAATGACTTATAAGAATTAATTGGTACTACCTATACTAACAAGATGCATCTACTTTTCGGTAGCCCAGAACGGAAGAACTCCATAGTTAAGCGTGCTTGACTTGGGGCAATTCTGGGATGGGTGACCTCCTGGGAAGTTTTCCCGGGAAGTGTGCGAGTGAGGACAAAGCACGCTGAAAAGTCTCGTGTTAGTGTGTGGGGACAGTCGTTAATCCTTGCAAGTTGCCGGGCGTTACAGTATGTATGAATAGTCAAAAAATATTTGATAAGTAAAAGATGAAATCAATAAATGGTGTGTCTGGTTAACTACTTAGCTTTGAACCATTTTATTGATATTTGTATGGATTCCCTAGTCTAGGTGCGCCGTAGAGTCTTGTTGAGGATCTTACATCAGAGGAGGCTTGGTAACTCGGTTGTTGGGTAGGCCATTTATACAGCTTTGAGAGGTAAACTCTATGTTTATGGGGTTCGCTCCTACTTTGTGTTCTGTAACACCCCGTATATATCCGGTAATGTTATCATATCATCGTATTAAGCTGCGCTTAATTAAAAATGCAGAATATCTTTTTCTTTTCATTTATGACGTCATTATCATTACCAACTTGCTTAATTAATCATTTAAATAAAACCATGCCTGTATGTAAATTGCAAAAGACAGCTAACTGAATACCTCATTAATTAAAATAACAGATATAAGTCTCTAGTCACGGAACTACAACACGTAGATCGGACAACCTACTAAGTTATACAACTCAACTCAAAGTACTAACATAAAGTGGCATGGACAGACCTCATGCTCACCCAAATAAGGCACAAGCCCAACAGAAGTCTCAACATCAACAGCTTAATAAAAGCAACTAAAAAGATAACATCAGCAGAATATCCAGCATCTAGTTTGAAAATTCGGTTTGAAGATGTATAACTTGAGATGTACAAATCCAATTAAAGCAAATAATATATCATTAGAAAGATTAAAGATTCTAGTTTGACATATAAAAAATCTAGAAACTTTGGAGCACCCATGAGTTCCCAGTAATTTTGTGAAGTAGGCTTAATTGATTATAAAGGCCAATATAGGACAATTGTCTTGTGAATTGAATAACTCATGCTATACTTGGCCACATGACCCATATTATGGCTTTATGGAAAGCTTGAGGTGATTAGTTTGTCATATTAAATAATTATAATTTTGCATAAAATCGCGAATTCCCAGTTTTAAAAATGGTCAAGGCTGTTCAATGATCAATTTAGCTATAAGGTCAAGTTTGCTAGACTATTTTCATTGGAAAGAACCTATGGACTCTCTTATGATATTATATGATGTTCCAATAATTTTGTCGACCAAATTAAGCTTATGAATGGTTAGAAGTTATTTTATGTCTATCCTTTGTAGTTCTTATGTTTTAAAAGAGAGTAATTCTTTGAGTCATCGTTGAGCTTAATAACAATAAAAATTAACTACCAAATGTTACATTGATCATTCGGCACAAGTCCTGTACATCAACTATATGTGATTTAGTGCCAATGTGAAAGTCTCGTACGTTGATTGTAAGAGACTCTTTAAATCCTGCGCATTGATCTTACGAGACTTAGTGCCAATAT